TGTTCTTGGCAGCGAAAAGATATTGCGAGAAAATAAGAAGAAAATAAAATCAAGATCATTCAGTTTGGACTGAAATAAATAAAGTGTAAAGACTGGGTTGAATGACCTTTACATTTTGAAAATCTTATTTGATTTGGGGTTAACAAAGGTTACTTTAAGCCTCTCAATGCAGTTCAGCTTTTCAAAGATGCAGGACTTCATAATATGAAGCCATTAGTCAACAATAAAACATATAAAAATAAACTCTTGAGCTAAGCAAAGGCTTCAAACCTGACAAAAAACAAATAACCCTTTACACCCACACACATATCCCCTCCAGATTAAGGCTGTGGTTTACCTCCCCCTCCTGCGTTGATGTGCAGCTGGGACAGAGACAGGGTGAGGGGCAGTTGTCGCCCATCAGGGTCGCTGGGACTCTGCAGAATGTCGTGCATGGCGTTCCTGCGTCCCGTCCTGCCAGAGGCGATGAAGTCAGCGTACGTGGCCTCAACATCAGACATCGCTCATGCATCGTTCACACAGCAACACCTACAGGAGGAGCAAATAATCATCAACATTTTCAACACACAGTTCTCCATACAGTTTCATGAAAGACTCCACAATATAAAACATGAAATATGCATAATCCTCATGTTACATCTTACTCTACAGAGGGGAAGGAAGTATTTATATCTCTAATTAAGTTAAAGTAGCAATACCACACTGTAAACATGTCTTAAAGAAAAAAAAGCCCTATGATTAAAGAACCAAAAGTAAAAGCAGACAACTCTTCATGCAAAAAAAATTATATTATCACATTATCACATTATAATATGGATGCCTTATTTGAGTACATCAATGTAATATTACATGTTAGTAGTAGTACATGTTAAGAATAGTAACCTGCTTAAGAAAAACAAGGCCTCCCTATTTACTTTAATGTAACCCCAGATGTAGACAAGATAAGATTGCAGTTATATATCCACATTTCTAAGCCACTATTATAAACACTGAATTATTGTCCTAATGTGCTTTACATTAATGTTCACAGCTTTACATTTTGAAGTAGACTATATCATGCTAACCAGGTAGCCCGTCCATAGTTTGGCCCACACGTCAAGAATCAACCAGATTCAGATATCTAGGTTAACCACAAGTCAAATGATATATCCATAATATATCATTAAGCAATTTTACCAGCCCAAGTCCCGTTTTGGAAATATCTTACCTTAAGTGACAGCTCTACCAGTGCTGTAGCCACAAGCTACATTTCTTGGGAGTGACTTCACCTAGAATAAGCACCACGACAGGCCCAACATCGCGTCAAACGACACTACAAAACAAACAAAACCAACGAAAAATGCTGGAAACAACCCAAGTCAAACAGGTAACAATCCCAACGCCACTACATAACGCGACGAGTCAACACATGGATATCATCTAACAATATGAATCACATCAGTAGGATGCTATGTAAAGTCCCCAGTCTATTCTCCCTTGCCGTCGCATCTTCCTCCTTCTTGACTAATCAGAAACGAGGAACCTGCTTCTAGACGCTGATTGGACAGGAGACACAAAAGGATGAGAGGAGAGAGCATGGCTCTGAGCAGCACCGAGGCTTATGCTGCATTCGTGATCACCTCGTAAATCTCAACTTCATGAATAAACATCCATTTATCAATCTATCTATGATTTTGAAAGCAGTTTACAAATATTTGTTCAAGAAGCAAATGTGTATCATATTTTCATTTTAATATTAGATTCGTTTTACAAACTGATGCAAATGAACATTTACTGAGAAAAAGAAAAGAAAATCACATTAATTAGTTCATCAATAAGTGTTTATTTATATAGGCCTGAAGTGAAGTGAAGACTAAAAAAAGTAATTTTAACTAAACAGATTATAATTATAGTGGAAAGATGTGGACAAACCGGGACAAAATTATAATAAAACTATATCTTGGATTGTAAACAAGATTTTTGTTTGTATGTTATGCTTTGATTTACCACATGATGGCGCTGCTGTCAGCATTTATCTTTAACAGAGCTCCCTCAATTCACCTCAACAAGTCCAAGACAATATCAGACAATGTCAGCTGAGATAAAGAAAGAATTACACGTTTTTCTTTTTATTCAACAAAGATATTGAGGCTAAATGTGTGTACATATGTAAGGATGCTCCATCTGTGTTGTAAGGCAAGGCAAGGCAGCAGCATGTAAAACCAAGTATTGCACATAATTAGACATAAAAAAGAGTCAGAAATAAAAATTATACAATATAAACATCTAAAAAAAGAAGGTAAAACAGAACTAAAAAAGTGAAAATGTAAAAGTTGACCGTGAGAAAAACTATGTAAACTACCTGACAAAAAAAAACACTAATGAAGTGCCAAATTACAGAAAACACAATATAATATAAACTCTCATAATATGAAAATAGGATATTATTTACATTTAGTAAGCAAAGGTGGCAAAACATTTATTAAAAGGAAACGTTAATGTCCAGTGGGAAGTTATAAGTCCAGAAGCTATGGAGCAGTGAGTTCTCTGCCAGCCAGAGGTGAGTTGTTATACACAGTGTTGGCAGGAATGTCTTCCTGTATCTGTCCTTGTGACAGCAGAGCAGACAAAATACTTCTGATTCCCCCTCATGCATTAAAGATGAGAAAACATATAACAATAACAGGTGCAATATACAGATACAAAAAAACGTGTTGACCTTTAAACATCAATCAATCAATGTCAATCAATGTTTATTTATATAGCCCAATATCACAAACATTACATTTGTCTCAGTGGACTTCACAGTTTGTACAGAATATCAGTATGACAATATGACACCCTCTGTCCTTAGACCCTCACATCGTACAAGGAAAAACTTCCAGAGAAAACCCCACATTTTAAAGGGAAAATGGGAGAAACCTCAGGCAGAGCAACAGAGGAGGAATCCCTCTCCCAGGACGGACAGACGTGCAATAGATGCGGTGTGTAAATCGAAGAGATAATACATTTCACAGCATAGGTAGACCAAATGGTTGGAAATGCATGTGTCTATAATAAGAAGATTAATCCACGAGGATGTCAGCAATCCTGTGGGAGCCATCAGGGAAGTAGTATGGTGAGAGTCTGGCATGACCGCAGACAGGTTCAGCCAAGACTCAAAGTCCAGGACTCAGATCCTGTACTCAGGATAGAGGATCCAGGACACACGACCACAGCAACAGGATTAGCCTCGACTCAGGATCCCAGCGTATATGTAGACACAAAAAATAGATTTGGGGGAAGCTGGGTTAATCGGAACAAGAGAGTACACAGGTACAGACAGAAGGAAGAAGTAAGGTGTCCCCCGACAGTCCAAGCCTATAGCAGCTAAACTAATGTGTCTACATACATGCACTCCCTTAGGATAGGTTGAGGGAAAAGGGTAGCAGGTAAGAAGTAAGAAGCAGAGGTGGAGAGGCACACACAGGGAGAAAGGTCCCCACTGGAAACTTAATTGGAATTGGTTAGAGGTGAGGAGTAGGTCTGTGACTACGTTCCACACTCCCCGCCCGGGATAGGCCTCTCTGCAACCTTTCAGAGATGTATCCCTTATAAAAACGGTATTCTGCAGCACTCATCCAGATAAGATGTGACTGTTAGGATTCCTAATAGTGTTTGCCGAGACCAAGATTAATGACCCATCAGCATTTTAAAGTTTAAATATCCCTGCTCATGCAGCAATGACATTTCTGCTGCTATCTTTGCAAAACGAGTTAACAGTCACATCTTATCTGGATGAGTGCTGTAGAATACCGTTTTTATAAAAGGGACACATGTGTGTGTAGTCTTTCATATTAAACATGACCCCGCGGTGGTTTTGAAATGCTCTCGATTTCTGAGGTCTCAAGGTTGGCAAGTATGCCCGGGACGGGCCTACCTGAATGCGTGCACAAGCCCACCGTATATAAGGCGGCCACGCCTCGCGTTCCCGTCATCCGGCTGCAAATAAACACGGGTGTGTTGGGCATCTCGCTCATTGNAACGACAAACGAGCCTGCCTGGGCTTGGCCCTCCTGTATATGCCCTATGATAGCCTGTCCTAACCCTCTCTGGTACTACTGGGCAACTCAGTTTAGGACTATTATGTTTTATTTTACAAACGACAACCCCCCTGCCTGGAGTCCCAATGTTTAGAGTTACCTCTTCCCATGTATTTGTACTCAACTAGTGTGAAGAAACTTTTAAAAACAAACTAAGCCTATTACTAGGAACATGATTAGAGTCTGGCATGAAGCGGGGAAGTACTTGGGCGAACCTTTCTCTCTCACGTTTTAGTCCACTTTAGGGAAATGATGACATTACTCCAGGCAGAGCTGATAGTGGGTTTAAGATTTGGTCAGATAAGGGGGTACAGAGAATTCAGGATCTATATAGGCTCGATGATGATAAACTGATGTTGTTTGAGGAGCTTGCAATCAAGCACAACATTTCACGGAAGCATTTTTTCAAATGTTTACAAATTAGAAGCTATATTGGAGCAAACCAAAAAAACTTAATTTCTACACTTGCTTATATCTGGCTCCCCTGAGTCCTCTGAAGCTAAACTTAGAAATTGGAGGTAGGATTTGTGGGAAGGTGCCTTTAAGAAAGCTCAATCACAAACAGCGAATACCCATCTTAAGCTCTTACAATATAACCGGTTGATGCAATGTCTGTACATATATTACTCCAGAAAAGCTAAATAAATGTAATGGTAATATCCCGGACTTATGTTTTAAATGTGGACAATCTAAGGGAACTTTCTTTCATTGTGTTAGGGAGTGTACCAAGATAAAAACGTTTTGGGAAGAGGTCAAATGTATGATAGAAGATATTTGATCAATGCAGTCAATGCATGATAGCACTTTAATGGAAACGTTTTAACAGTCCAAGTATTAGAAAATGGCAAAAAGAACTGTCTGCATGTGTCTCATTAGAGAAAATAATCAATTAAATTAAAGGAAAACAAGAACTATTAAAAAAAGTATGGGGCCTTTTCCTTAACTATCTGGAACATTCAGATCTAGAGAGTACTCTGGGTCAGCAAACTGGAGATGATTGATGTCTTTCTGCTTGCAGGAAGGATGGAAGCCTTTCATATCTGCCTACACAAGGACCGATACAGGAAAACATTCCTGCCCACTGCAATAACACTTTATAACAAATCACCTCTGGCTGGCAGAGAACTCTCTGCTCCAGCTTCTCTTGATTACTGGACTTAAACTCCCACTGTACATTTTTACATTCATTCCAAATTTGTATTTCCACTTGTATATTTTCCACATGTATATATATTGTTTATTTTTTGTTTTATATTCTTAAACTTTACATTTTTTTAATATTATTTTATTTCTTGTGTCTTGATTTCTCTTATGTACATTGCCTTGTGTTTTTTATGCTGCTGCAACGCAAACATATCTATCTATCTACATGTACATGTTTGTATATTTCCTTACTTAGCCTATCCACGTGTTTGTGAAGTTAATTTTATTTATGTGACTTGTAATGTACTTCATTTTGTTATGTCTTGTGGATGTTTGTGTACTGTCTTCTATATTGTCTATATATGCTAAAAAATTAAAGAAAGTGTTTAAAAAAAAATCAGCAATTTATCAGCTTACCTTATACTTCCATTTTGCTTCAGTCTTGTTTTTATTCTGCTCTCTGAATTCAAACTTTTCTGCGTTGTTCTGCTTTGATATTTCCTTCTCTGATATACTCAGGACGTTTTTAACAGCCTGAAGGGAGACACAATTATCAAAAGTGAAAAGTAACTGTGGGTTCTTTCTCTTTTCTTTATGTTTGGAATTAAAATAAAGATCTTTATAAAGCGTTCTGCTTAATGGAATACAAAATGGCCTAAGTGAAGTCACAACTAAGGATACAAATAATCATTCCACAAAATAAGAACAATATCATTAACAGTTACATTACCACACTCACCTTCGTCTTTTTCGGCTGGTCCATTTTGCTCAAGATGTCTTTGGCATGGGACTCAAGAGCTGCAAAGCTGGAGGGTTTGGGAGGCGGCGACAACTCTTGCAATTTCTTCGCTTTCTTCTTTCCTCCTTCCTTGACCTTGGGCACCTTTGGAGGCTTGGGGGCCTTAGGCATCTTGGGGGGTTTGGGAGGCTTCGGAGGCTTGGGGGGTTTGAAAGCTTTCTTTCTGGCCTTCTCTCTGCTGGGCGAGGGGACATGGGCCGGTGAGACGGGCTCTTCAGGATCCGAGTGTGTGGATGGGGGTTCCTCCACTGGAACCTTGATGCTGGGCTCACTCTTAATAGCTTTTGTTGCATTCTAAAAGGAAACACAGGGAACGTAAAGGGTATACATTTTAATCTGCAGTTAAATCCCTCTTGAGACTATTTAAGTTCCCCTGAACTAGTGCTGAAATTATACATCAATTAATTTATTTTAAGATCACAAATAAATGGGTGAAAGAGTGAAAAATCAATGCAGTGTAAAAATAGATAGATTAAACCATATTTGATTGTGTTTGAGACCTTTATTCAGTTTTTATTGTGCTGATGGTTTGGGTGTTTTACTGGTGTGTAGAACCTCGGCCCTGTGAGCCAATAGGAAGAGAGTAGAGGAGCTAACATTTTCATTAACTTTAAATAAGGTTTGTGTGACAGCAATATTATTTGCAGAAGTAAAAGGCTAACATGGTTGAGTTTTGGTACAGAGTCGGTTTTGTGAGCCTGCGACATGAGCTGTCTTTATATTAGAACAGGGGTGTCAAACTCAAGGCCCCTTTTTATGTGGCCCGGAAGAGTTTGCAAAGAATATAATATACAATACAATCGGTGTAATTGTTGAATGTATGCTTTCAATGATTTTCCCTAGACGTGTGCTTTCAAACATAGTTACTACCAGAACTGATAATAATCAAATTTAAAGGTCCCATGTCATGGCCATTTCTACTGATCATATTTCCATTGTTGAGGTCTACTAAAATAGATTTATATTGTGCAATTTTCCAAAATCACATTGGTTTCTCATACAGCATCTCTTTATAGTATGTGTATTCACTCTCTGGCCGTTTCTCAATTGCGAGGAAACTGGCTTCCAAGCCAATATTTCAAGGATACTACGTCATCGAGTGCCGCCGAAGGACTGTTCCAATCTCCAGCATACTTGGAATTCCACCGAGGCCACGTCCTTGGTTTGGGGGTAATTTCGAGGCTGCACATGGGTATACTTCGCGTCCTTCAAATCCCCACAATGCTTTGCGCACGGACCAATTTCAAAAACCCTTGTGGAGAATGGCTGAACCGACGCAGCACAGCACACATTTAAATGTAAGTATGTAGTGGCGTAGAACATGTGTTGGTAAATATGTTACTTTGTTACATTTGTTATCACCAAAAATGTGTTCCGTGAAAGTAAAGCAAGTTCATAATTAGATAGACATCGTGAGGTATTTATTTTCGGTAGAGTTTATGTTGAAACCGTTAGAGAGAGTGGCACACTTGTTAGCCTGTTCCATTCTTCTTTGTTTTCCGAAGCCGTGGCTTGGAAGTAGGGCTGAACGATTAATCGATTTTAAATCGAAATTTGACATGATGCGATTATCAAATCGCAAAGCCTGCGATTTTTTTTCAATTTTTTTTTTTTTTTCTTGTGTGTCAGTCATCCACACCAATCAGAAGTGCTGTGCTCCACATGTACCAGCCATTGTTAACCAATCAGAAGTGGCCCATGATAGAAGGTGATAGACAGATTGATCCAATCACCTGCCAAGTATTTTTGAAAGTTACTTTTCCAAATGGCTTCCAATGGAGCTTTCCTAGATGGTCTGGTGAAACAAACCATCTGAGTCAGGTTAGTAATGCTCCATCACATGTTTTACATCTATTACAGGGTGAATCTTAAACTGAAGCTTGACTTTAAAGCAACCCAACGGAAGTTTCATGTAAGTTTAGTTCTTTCACTCGTAGCTCGGGCTGCGGGGGTGCTAGAGACGGGAGCATGTTGATACGACCTTCCTAGCTGGATTTATGGCCGCATTTTACAATAAACTTACGTTGGGTCGCTTAAAAACAGAAAAATCGCAATTAGATTTTGTCCCAAAATCGTGCAGCCGTACTTGGAAGTATACTTGCTTCGTTTCTGAAGGAAGTGACTTGGAAGTATGCGACTACCAAGCCAGTATCCTCGCGATTGAGAAACGGCCTCTGTCCTAAACGGCTTGTTGGAGCTCCTGCCCCCCCCTCCATATGATCCCAGTGGCCGTCTGCGAGACAGCAAGACACAGCGAAACCCAGCCCGAACACAGATACACACCCGCAGCCTGGCTGGGAGTCTGTGTGTGTGCTCACACACCGACTCA